CAGAGTCGCTGTGCAATTTTCTCATCTACATGCCGAACTTTGGTTTTGGTCTACGTTTTTTACCGGATTCGTTCGTTTAGACTGACTAAGCTTCACAATCTGATGATGGCACGTCAAGAGCAGATATGGACCTATATAATTGTTAGTTCATATTAGAAGATGCCCAACTGTCACTACAAAAACTTTTATGTTGCTGTGTCTTCAATGCACCAGTAGTCCTTTTTTCGTGTTGCTGGAATATTTAAAAACTCATCGAAATTGTATCCAAAGGTGCTGTGGTAGTCAGAAGAATTGATCGACACGCAACTCATATTCCCCGAAAGGAGTTGACTATTCATCCTATTCGTATGTAAATGAGATGCTAAAACTGAATATTTCATACAATCACTTAGTCGATGTGGACTCTACACCCCGTATTTGAATTCGCACATAAGTTGTACACCCCATCGGTGATCGGTATCTAGAAATGAAACACAGTGTGACTGAGTTATTTTAATTGATGCTTTGTTCATTCAAGTGTATCTGTCTCCCGTGTTATGTCTGTCGCTTGGTTGGTCACCTGACTTTTCTCATGAATACACATCTTTGAAACTGAAGTTGTCATCGCTTCCTGCTCTCTTTTTCTGTATATCCATCGCACACCCCAAAAATGATTTATTCTCAGCGAATTGCTTTAATTTCTAATTTTTGTGATGTAAAACATTCATAAACCAGTGTTTATATATATATATATATAGATATATATATATATAATTACATCCACTTTTCTTTACTACAGTGTATAGTTCCTGTACGTCTTATTTCTTTTCTCATTAACTTAAAATCCTTAATCTAGTTTTCCGTGTGACCTATATTGTTCTCTACTTTAGCCTTTGGTGAAGCTACTGGCGGACTTTGCCTGCAATCCTCATTACCCAGATATGGCTATGGAAAGTATTCGTCTCATGCGAACCTGCGCAGAAGTAGTCTCCACAAATGGGGCTCTATTCACCACTGCCTCCCTCTCTCCCACACCAGACGGGAATATCGTTGGAACATCAAACCCGATGCTGGCTGCGACAGTTGTGAATAACGCAGTACAATCATTTGGCTCGCCGCCTCCACCATCGAATCAACCGCGTATCTCTGACGAAGATCATATCTGGCTTCGTGGTTGGATGCCGGTTTTATGTGAACTGTTTCGTGTGATTAACAGGTGAGATTGAGGCTGCGTTCGATCACACCTTCACTCCTAATCGCTGTTCATCCATATGGTGCTGCAATGAAATGATTCAATGCGTCTGTCTTTCTGTTTTGTCATCTGACTTTTCCCATGATTTTATTGGACAATCAAAAGGGTATCCCCGTAGTTATGGAGAACTGTTATTCAGCTACAAGACCCGACAACTGCAACTGTAGGACCATAAAATAATAAACGACGTCACACCATATAGAGTGAACTTAGTATTGAATCAAACAATGACAAAAGACGACTCATTATACCATATTAATGCATTAACAGCACTAAAAAAATCCAGTATCTACAATCGAAACGGTCCTCCATCCTTTCGATAAACAGTCAATCACTCGAAGCAGACCTCATTTTCTAACGAATGGTTTAGGTGATCACCAAGTAATTAAGCTCAGTGTCAACTTTCGGAATGCACATCTATTAATCTTTTGATCTCTTAGTTCAGATCTCATCGCCAGTCCATATGGTTGTTTATCTATCATAAGTTTGAACCATGCTTGATAACCGGACTAGTAATCAAAATTAGCACATTCATTCTTTCCTTATGCGGATCTGTTCGAACGAAATGTCCCTCACTTTTCGCAAAGTCTGGACTATGAAATCGCACTCTTCGCTTTGATCAAATGTTTACTTTGCACAAATCGATAGGTGATTATCGACAATTTTCACTTCGTTACAAGGGTTCAATTCTTCTTGACGGACAGCCAGATTTAAACGTTTCCTATTCGTGATTCCAATTACAAAACATGGACGAATCTGCTTAACTGATAATTTTTTCGTTCTCTGCTGTGTTTTTCTACCAAATAAAAATATGAACTTGGCACACCTGATTCTAACGGTTCCCATTCTGTCAGTCAACAGTTTCGATGTAGCAATCGCTCAACCCGTGAACTCTCGATTTCAGTTCCCGCGAGCACCTAGCTTTCTTCATATTATTCTTTTTTGATTTCTGCATAGTTACATCTCCGTGACATCAAGTTCGAACCCTGCACCACATTTTGCACAAATAAACTAAATGATCTGATTACTGTCCTACTGCCTCATTTTTGATGGTCTTTCCTAACCACTCTCTGATCCATCTAGTTGTAAGCTGGATGTCCGTACCCGAGGTCTCACCGTTTTTTTCGATATTATCAAGACATACGGTGCTCAGTTCAAACCACTGTGGTGGCGGGAAACGTTCACGGTCATTTTCCGCGTGTTTCATCACTTCCGTTCGCCGTCATTCAGTTCGACAGGGGATAGTGTCGCAGAACTCGGGTCGGGACTTTCTTCCCTTGAACGAACTGAATGGATGAACACAACGTGCAATCACACGTTGTTTTCCATCGTGGATGTATTTGCCCAGTTCTACGAGCCGTTGCATGTGATACTGTTGGGTACGTTTTCTGTATCACATGTACGATGCAAAGCGGTGAATCAAATTTATGCAGCATATTGATTCTATCACCTTCTAGGCCTGATTTACAAATTAGCAAACATTAGAGGAGTTAGATATATTGTGATTTCTAACTGGTTTCTGGGGTTAATCATGCGCACTTGAATTTACGACAGCTCACGTGATACGGAAACCCTTTTCATGTTATATCTATCAGTCACACTTGTCCTTGAGCCTTCAGTCGAGAAATCTCAGTCACCCAACTTTTGGCATTTTTTCTCCCTCCCACACCAAGTAATAGGTAACCGCCATTTTGTTATCGGTGAAGTATTTTGCAAACTAGAGTAGATCAAGAACGGGACACATTTTTACTCCGCGCACTTCGTTTGATCCTCAGTTTGCATTTAGAAGATATTTCAACGGGGAAATTGACCACATAGCTGTAAGCTACCGTTGAGTACAAAATTGCAGATCCTATTGGGCTACCTGCGTTGAGTCGGACCCTGCACTATTTCTGTTACGCTTCACTCTTCGACTCATTGGTCATCGGCAGAAATCACCTCAATCAGCTCACCATTGTCTGCGCGATCCAGCTGTCTGCGCAGGTTATGAGGAGAAGCTGGGACAGGCGTTAGGATAACCGCGACATAGTGGAGTAGACGAACAGTGGAATCAGATTAGATTTGCGATGCACTCATCAACAAACTTTGCTTGTGGGACTGAGCCCGAAGTTCGCCGGAGGCATTGGATCCCTCAGGAGTCAGTAATCCTAATGGATCAAAAGTGAAATATCCCAACCTGTTAGGATCAGTATAAGGACCGGTATCGCCTGCAACGTCAACTCAAAAAGATCGTGAAAATTGGTGGTCCAAAATAGCTGATGAACTGGAGGTAGCTTCTGCATCAGGGAATAGTCAAAGACTATTTCACCTTATACGCAGCACCGGAGGTCGTCGCATACCGGTCAGTGAGATCATTTGCGA